TTCCCTGAGTTTCATTTTCTCCAAATCTCTTTCTCAGAAGAGGCCCTGGCTCTGCCGTCCCACAGGGGCACAGCAAGCTTTAAGGAAGGGTTTTATTGCAGGCTTTTTTTGACTTTCCTCTCATCTGTACCTCGACCAACGGGAAATCCTGGCTCCCACCCTTGTCTGGACGTGTATCTTGCCCCATTCTTGTCATCACATTCCTGGGAACCGCTTCCCCCAGGGGACCAGCAGCGTGGCACCCAAGTGGCCACCATATGCTGCCACTGAGGCTGGCATGGGGAGCTGCCAGCAGATCATTTGGTGCTTTATTTTTATTTTATTTTATTTTATTTTGGCCATACCGCAGGCAGAGAAACTCCTGTCTGGAGGAGGACGTGGTGGCTGAGATCTCTGGTGTGGTTCCTAGGGTTTGTGTTTCCATGGTAGGGTGATGGGGGGAGGGCTGGCAGCAAGGAGGGATGCTGCTGTGGGGGGTCATTGATACCTCCCGAGGGGTTGTCACAGCTCTGGGGTGGGCTGCAAGGGTGCAGCCAGGTCTGCCTGCACGCAGGTTGCAGGAGGCAGGGGGGGAGATGAGCCAAGGCAGTGAGCATCACACATGGTTTGGAGATGGTGGACAGGACCACTGGACCACGGTGTCCCCCAGAGTTAGCCCCACAGCATCCTCTGCCACCAAGGATCCGCAATGGGGAGGAAGAACAGGTTGTGAGAGATGGCCATGGGGTCACAGCGTGAGCTTGGGGTGGCTGAAGGACACGGGGTTTGATTCACCCTCCTCAAACTTTCTGCGGATGCTGGATGAAGAGGTGGTTTCTCTGCCAGGAGCTCAGAAACCTTTCACAAAGGATAAATCGATGCGGGGCTTCCTCTGGACGTGGACGGGACTCTGAGGCCTCAACAGCTTCATTATGGGAGGTTGGTGGCCATGGCCATTGGAGGGATGAGGTGACTTGTGTCAATATGTTGGTGGCTTGTACCATGCAGCTGGTGCTCAGGGCTTCTGCTGCTGGTCCTGGGCATTGCCTTGCAAGGGACCTACTGGGGGACAGCAGACCTGGGGGCAGCATGGGGTGTCCCGTATGGTGGCAGGAGGCAGCCCATGAGCCCAACATGGGAACACCCAGGTCCTCGATGTCCCCGTGTGGTCTCCTGGGCAGCAGCTCTTGCTGTGGGCAGTGGTGACAAGGGGACATGGCCCTTGCTGAGCACCAAGCTGGTGGCAAGGACAGCAGTGCCCGGGTGGGAGATGCCATTTGCATCTGCCTTTGCTCCTGGCCAGGGGAGTCGGGCCACACAGCTCAAGCTGCTGATGGGGGCCGAGGCTTTGCATCCCTGTGGCAGGGAAGGAGGGGGGACATCCCAGTCCTCCCTCCTCGGAGCAGGCTGGTAACCCTGGAGATGGCTCTGTGCTCACCCAGAAGAGAGGGCCTTTGTGCTGAACACTGGAGCAGTCAGGGCTGGCGGGGCATCAGTCGCCGTATTCAACGGGTGCCTCTGTTTGCCAAAAAATGCTTGGGCCTTGGCTTGTCCACCCTGTGCCCACCTCCCTCTGCAGACCCTTTCTCCTCCCGTGGATGGAAGGAGGAGAAGAGGTGGTGTTGGAGGGCAGCTGCGGGGACACCAGCCGGGATGGGGATGGAGGAAGAGGGGCTGGGCTGGGGAAGAGGGGCTGCCGCTTCCCGGCTGGAAAAGGGGAGAGGGGAACAGGGAAGGGTGGAGAGCTGTGGGTGCTGCTGCCTTCCCATGGCCTCAGCCCTCCTACATAGCTGTCTGTGTCACGAGAATAATGCACATGTTTTCTGAGCCTCTTGCTGGAGCCGTGGTGTTGCATTTTCTGGTTTGTGCACCTTCTCTCTGCAGTGGCAGAGGTGTTCTGTTAAATAACACACTGGACATATGGGACCTCCAGAGCTGAGCATCAGGATGCACTCTCACTAAAACTGAGCGAGCAGTGATCCCTCCTTTTGTTATAACAGCTCAAAATTTGCCGTGGATTATCCTGCCCGATTTGTGGGTTTAGAATCCGAAGGAAGAGGAAGGAAGGTCCCTGTGTTTTCATCTGGGGCAGGGTGCGGGGTGGTGGAGGTGGAAGTAGGATGCTCATCACAGGGGTTTGTAGATCCTGATTCCTTTGTCCTCCCACCACAGCCCCAACGCAGGACCTGGGGACATTGTGTCTGGCTTCAGGAGAGGTTATTTGTCAAACTTGGCTATTTTAGTCGACTCTGGCTTTAAGCTCAGGTTGAATCTTAACTTAGCCCAAGCGATGCTGAGCAGATACCTTCACTCGTCTCAGAAGCACGTGGGATTTAGCAGCTCTGAACAAGGGCCTTGTTTTGGCTTTTGATGGTTTGGGTTTTTTTCTTAACGGCATCTTGAAATCCCTTTAGAAAATGCACTTAACCTAAAGAGGAGTCAGAGGTAACAAGAACCCCGATTCCTGCCGCTCTGGGGACTTTACCAGGTGTTTCTTGCTGTGTGATCAGTCCTGCTCCTCTGGCTGGGGCTGCCTCAGCGTTGCACCCAGGGAGGTTGGGGACAGGCTGAAAATAGCAGAGTAGCTCAGGAGGCTGAAAAAGGAGAGTGGATGCTGTCAGGGAGAGAGCAAAAGATGAAAACCTGTAGGAGCACAGCAGGTTCTGCTGAGGTTTTTTTTTGGAAACCCCACCTAATTGCCTGTTCGTGGTTCTAGGTACAGAAATAGCTCCCAAACCATCTGGAGATGGAGTCCCCGCTCCTCCAGCAGAATGCCATCCTGAGCTGGGAGAATTCCTGTCTAATTTCTAAAACTCTGCCCAAAGCGTGCAGATCTCTCTGGGAAAGCAGGTCCTGAGTGGTCCTGGTGAGGGGCAGGTCCCTGCAGTCCCCGTGCCCTGGGTAGCTTTCCCTGGTGTCCCACCAGATCTCCTCCCCAGCCGGCACCGCCGCTTGCCCTCTCGCTTACTGAAATAAACCTCCCAATAAAGCTCCCAATAAAGCCTCAAGCACCGGCCGTAGCTGTTGAAACTCCGGGATTGGAGTCGATAAAATCAATATTTCTGCAGGTTGATGGAGTTTCTCCGCCCGACGCCAAACTGGTGGAGCAGTAAACAAACCGGCAGACAAAATAAAACCCTCCTGCGTCGCGGGGAAGGGGTTTCACCACCCGGCACCTCCAGCCGTGGATAAAGAGGGAGGCATTTGGGCTGTTGGATGCCAACCTCTGGGGGTGGTTTTTTCCTTCCTTGCTCTAATTTCTGTGGCAGAAGCTGAGCGCGAGCCGGTGCCCCAAGACTCCCAGCTCTGCTTCGCAAGCACTTTGAGCCGTCTCTCATTTGCAGAGCATATATTTGTTGTGTAATAAGCGCCAGGAATTAATGATCCACGGCAGGGCTGGGGAAACTTGCGTACTAAGCACCCAAGGAAAAAAAATAACTTTTCCTTTTTTTAAAATCACTGATGGAGCCATTAGGACCCGTGTTTTCTTGCAAGGAAACCGCCCCAGCCCCCCGGGCACGGCTGAGCCGGAGCAGGGGCTAGAGCCGCCGTCTCTTTCCCAACTCCTTCCCTTTGGAGAAGCAATGTTCCTGCCGCTCCCGTTATGAATCATGAGGTTAGCAGCTTTTGACAGATCATAAATCAGTGCTTCGAAGTCGCTAGGACAAATCCCAGGACATTTAATCTTTAATATTAGACGTGTTTAAGGCAGTGAATATTTCATGAAGGTGCTGTTGCATTTTAGCACATCATTAGCCGTCTCTTTCTTTTTTCCCCCCCCTTTTTTCCCTTTTTTTTTTTTTGCCGCCGCCTCCCCCTTTCCAGGCGGCTCTTCCGTAAAAATCTCAGTGGTTGAGCCCCCCTCTCTCTCTCCCTCCTGACAATAAAGCTCTTTACTGTAATCCCTGCGAGGCATTTTAAGGACTTGCTTGAGATCCCGATGAGCACGCAGGTACCTGCCAGTCTGCATTACCCCGTGATGGGGGGGACCCCCCTGCCCCCAGCATCCTCTCCAGGCCCCCACCTCTGCTGGTGTTTACGGCTCAGCCTGCCCTGCCCTCGGGCACGATGGGGAGAGAAAAGGAGGGGTGGAAAAAAAAAAAGAAAAAATCCATCGGCGGGAGCTTGTAACAGAAACTCCACGTGCAAATCCAATTAATCTTTTGATTTTGCTGGTTTTTGCTCCGGGTTATGTATTTCTACCAAACATGGAATCAATTTGGGCCAAGCGCAGTCGGGTTTCTGGTGCAGGAAATGTCTTCTCCTGTTGTTAAAAGGGTGTAACAGGGTGAGCCAGCACCCAGAGAGCGAAGGGGAGCAGGGATGAGACCCCCTCAGCTGCGGGACAGGGGCATGGCATGGCCACTGCCCACGGAGGATGGAGGTAGGAGGTTTCTGCATCCTCCTGTGGGAGTTTGGGATGCAGGAGACTCTGCCATCCCATCACCGTGTGAGGTGGCAGGAGCAGGGGTGGGAAGGGAAGGTGGCCTGGATGGGTCAAGAGCATTTCCCCACCTGGGAGGTGCACGGAGGGGGACACTGGCTGTCCTCACACGAGGTCACGATCCCTGCTATGGGGTGAACCTCTGGCCCCAGAGCAGCCCCTCTACCAGGGACAGGGCTCAGCAGGACAGGGCAGGGGCTGGATCCTGTGGGGAGCATGAGGTGTTCTTGGAGGCCATCAGGAAGAGGGTTGCTGAGCCGGGGGAACTGCAGAGCTGCACAGAACACAGGTTAAGGACAGACCTTTTGCATCCTGAAATCCCATCCCTACCCACCATGGGTGCTACATCATGTAACCTCCTCCGGAAGAGCTACATGTCTCTTGCAGCTTTCTACATCTCTTTCATCTCCTCCTCTGCATCTCCTGGAGGTTTCAGAAGAGCCCAATGTGCTCCAAATCCACGTCAGGGACCAGGAATGGCCATGAACTAGCAGAGGTGGGGAGGATGGCCCGACACCATGGCTCCTGATGTGCCTCTGGGGCAGAGAGGTATCTCATCTCCCCCTTTTCTCTTTAGGAGAGTGCAGCTGCCACGAAGGCTACGCCCCAGACCCCGTCCATCGCCACTTGTGTGTACGCAGCGACTGGGGACACAGCGAAGGGTGAGTGGTGATATGATGGTTTGCTCTCTCTGGGCTCCTGCGTTGGTGAGGACCCCAGTTCTCCTCCCCACCGGCCATCACCAGCACCAAAGACCAGGTTGTGCTGCTTTCCCTGCCGTGTGATGTGCCACAGATGTTCTTTCACCCTTTTACCTCAGGCCGTGGCCCTACACGACACTCGAGCGGGGATATGACCTGGTCACAGGAGAGCAAGCACCGGAGAAGATCCTCAGGTGAGTCAAAGGAGTGTTCAGCTTGGCCATCTGGGAGGGGAGAGCTGGTGAGGACATCCCAGCAGATGCTGCCTCTTGGTCAGTCCTGGCTGTCTTCTTCTGCTGGCTGGGGGACACCAGTGTCATTTGTCTTTGACAGACCTGAAGGCTTTGCCCATATTCTGCAGGAGGGGGAAGGGTTTCCGTCTTGTCCCCTTGGCTGGACCCAGCTCAGCAGAAGCAAGACCGGTGCATGCATAAAGTCATGCTGAACCAAAAAGAAGAGCTTGACTCTCCACACATTCTCCCTGTCACAGAACTAGCTATTCCTCTCTCATTTGGATCTCAGGTCCCATGGTGCCACCACTGCTCTGCCTTCTAAGTGGTCAGGTGCAATTAGAGGGCCACCATTTGCTGTGGACACTGCGTTCTTGCATGACACATTTGTCCTTATTCCAGGTCCACCTACAGTTTGGGTCAAGGCCTGTGGCTGCCTGTCAGTAAGAGTTTCGTGGTGCCCCCCGTGGAGCTTTCCATCAATCCTCTCGCCAGCTGCAAGACAGATGTTCTGGTGACGGAAGATCCAGCAGATGTCAGGTAGGAAGCAGATTTCTCGTTTTCACTCACGCTTGAGTGACTACACTGCTCTTTAAATTGTTATCGAGGATGCAGTAATTTCTATGATGATAAGTTTGATTAATTTTCTGTCAATAAGAAATCTGATGTGATAGCTCTCTGGGCTTTTTTTGGTCCTGATGGGTCTAGGCCAGGCTTTTGTATATAGCTCTGAAGTCTGCCAATCCAGGCAGGTAAATTGGCATGAATCTCTGGCAAGGTAATTTTAAAAGTGGCTTAAATCTAACGTTAGATTGTGTAGCTTAAATTGATGCATTTACCAGTATGGAGGTGCTGTCATGTTTCAGAAACTCATACATATATCACATCCACCCAGGCCTGGAGAGTCTTCTGTGCTGCTCATGGAGGGCCGAGGTCAGACCCCGGTGAAAGGCCGTGTTGCTTGTCCATTTTTTCTACAACTAGGGTTTTTTTTTTCCTTCCTTGAATTCAGAAAAGGCACAGATATTTCTCTGGCTCCCCCATTTTGGCCAGTTTGTGTTTTAATCATATGTCATTGGACTTGTGACAGTCTAGTTCAGGAGTGGGACCTAAGAGGGCATTGCAGGAGGGGAATTGCCCTGGTGGAAGGAGAGGCTCTTTGCTGGGAGACCAGGCTGTGGGTGGGAAAAGGGGGGGTCCCGTGGAGAAGGAACCACATGAAACGGTTGTCCTCTGTGCCCCAGATGGAAAGGGAGCAGCAGCCTCTGCTTTGGAGGAGAGCGGTGGTGGTGATTGTCCTCCTCTGCCTGGTTTACAAGGGTTTAACTGTAAACTACAAGGGGTTTAACCCTTTAATTCCTAAGGTATTCAGCGTGTATTCCCCTCTCCCCCATTAAATTAAGGTTGAACCTGTGATCGTTGGGTGCCAGGGAGACTCCGTGATCCCTCTCTCCCTTCTTGCTGCCTTCTCCCATTGACTCAACACAACTTTCCTGACCTACTAGTTCCTGTCTGTTGTGAATCACCTTCCTGGGCACCAGCAGGATCCTTGTCTCTCCCAGTCCCTTCTGTTTTATCTTTTCCCAGAGCAATGGGATGGTGGATTTCCATTCTTCTGTCCCGTCATCATGAGTTTTGGCAGGGCTGTGGTTGGAGTAAGTGCCTGCAAAACCTCTGGCAGAGCCAGCACTGGCAGCCAAGAGGTCCTCACTTCCAAGAGTGTTTTTATTGCTAATTAGTGCTTGTTCCCTCTCCTGCAAAAAGAGATGGATGGTACATATCTATCACAATTCGGCTCTCTGAGGGGCATTGTTTTCCTTGTCTGCAGAAGACTACTGTTTTCCATTTGAGAAGGGGAAGGGTCGCCTTCTTGTAACGTTAACATTTTTCAAGCCCAAATACCAGGAGAACATTATTTCTTTCTTGCCTCCTCTCATCTTCATTAGAAGTACCTTAGCAAAGCCTAAGGAAGCTTGCACTCTCCTCCAGCACAGTCATTGTCTCTGGGCTCTGATCCTTGTGGAGGAATCTCGGGATGGATGAACACCAGGCAGGAGGAGGGGAGGGTCCTGGCACAGAGGCTGTTGCCTCCTTCCCTCATAAATGAAACCTGGCCTGAGAATTCCAGGTATAAATATTGGAGTGACCCAGGTAGAATAAGGGAGGCGAGTTCATGGCGCTTGTATCTTACATACAGGAGATGCTAAATTATTAAAACTTTAATAAACGTAATAATAAATATTTGATGTTGAATTATGGAAGGTTTCACAGATACAGTGAAAACCGAAAAGCGATTTATTATTTCTGCATCAGAACTTAAAACACTTCTCAAAGGGGGCTCGGGCTGCTTGCTCGGGGTCCCGAGCACCCTGGGGTGGGTGGAATCCAAGGTGATGCCACTCAAGTGGAGCGTGGTGGTTCGGGGGAGCTAATACGAGGGCTGCTGGCAGTGAGAGGGGATGCTGCTTGTTGGTGTTCACGAGCATCGTGTTGGCCCATCTCTGAGAACCTCCTCTGAGGTTCTTGGGTGCTTTCATGAGCAAGAAAGGTACTTTTAGAGCAGTTTATCTTGCAGCCTCTTTGCTTTGTCCCCTCTGGCCTAAGACAAGTGGTGGTAGCTTCTCCAGGGAGCAGTAATGCAGCAGTTTTGGTGGTTCAGATGTTCGGATGGTGACCCGTAACATCAGACCTACCATCGGAGGTGAACACGTGCTGTCCATTGTGTAGATGTTCACACACAGCCATCCCTCTGCCCGGGGAAGGACCTGTTCCTCGGGCTGTGGGAGCGTGGTGACACTGCTGTCCCTCCATGCTGGCAGCTCCTGCAGCACCTGAGCTCTAAGACCATCACGTCCCCGTGCCAGGGGGCAGATCCTGGGCTGTATTCCACCAGCTGCAACACGGCCACGTCTCCGCACCCGGAGTGCCCTGCTTGCTGTCCTGTAACACTGTGATGGCAGCTCAGTCCTGTCTTTCTTCTGTGGCTTTAATAACGAGCGTGCTGCATTCCTCCAGACCTTTCATTAGTCTGACACCTTTTGGCTCCGGGGTCGCTCGTCTTGAAGAGTTTAATGGAGGGAAATTGCAGAAAGCCTGGTTTGGAGAAAACAAGTGATGAAGTCTTTACAACTCCCAGGGTTAAAGGTTCGAACGTGGCCTTGTGTTTTTATGAAGATGCTTGAGGCTGCAGAAGGGGGAGGTGGGGCTCTGCCTTCCAGCAGCTCTCCGGAGAAATACCAACTCCCTGCTGCTGCTTCTCGGGGTGTTTCACCACCGAGGGGTGCAGCAAGCTCCACCACAGGGCTTTGGTGGATGGGAACGAAGGGCCCAAACCTCCTCCTGCTGCTGCAGCCAAGGTGTTAGAGAAACATCCTACAGGCAGGAGCCAAAAGGTCTTTGTGCAAACATCCCACCAGGGATGCTCCCACATGTGCTGGGGCGTGAGTGGGGACAGGTCTTTGCATGCAGAACTCGGTGGTGGAGGGTTTAGGGCTGTGCATCATAAATTAAGCATGAGGGTGCTTAAAGTTAATGAAACTTATATGTATAATTTATCAGTAACCATATTGAGCATCCCCTCCTCGACCCCAGAGTCTGATCCTCTGTACGGCGATGGCGTTGGTCACACGGCTGGGATCGTGCGATGTCTTTGCTGGTGAGACATCGGCCAGCAGTGCTTTGGGGCTCTCCCCGTGCTGGGAAGCCACTGGCTTGGACTGGAGGCCGCGTCCCAGGCTGGGCAGTGGCACATCCCCTGCCAGGACAAGAAATACCTGCCCGTCCCACCTTGGCTGGCTTGTCTTCAAGACTCCCCATTGCTCCCATCCCTCTCTCTTTTCTCTAATTCTCCCATAACCTGGTGATAAACACAGTAGTCTTATTTTTTTTTTTTTTTAAAACAAATTACTCTGAGGTGTTTAATCCTTCTGCTGGCTGTCCCTGGATGCCTTGCTGTCTCTTTTTAGCTCTGTAGGAGGTACCGCTTGTCCTGTGGGACCAGGAATCCCTATAATAGAGCAGGTTACACTGCTCTGCCCTGTTGGCAGCTCACGGGGAGGATCTGCACCCGCAGCCCCTGGGTCCCACCACCGTCAGCACCGAGCATCCCTGTGGGGGATAACAAAAGCATCCCTTGGGGCACAGCCGTCTGCAGGGGACCAAAAGGGGAGACAACCCGGGGGACAGAGCACGGCGCTGGCAAACGCCTGGTGGTCCAGGTTCCTCATGCCACCTGCTCTGCAGAAAAGTTGATAATTTCTGGTGAGCAGCGATAAATCAGAGGCACGAGCCTCAGCTGCCGCCTGACATGACATATAGCTCTATCGTTATGGCAACCATAGAAACAAATAAAATCCTTGCCTTCGCTTGACAAGCCTTTGAGATGTCCTGATGGAGAGACAAGTGTTCAGCAGCAGAATGAATTCTCTTGAACTTGCTGTTGATTCATCTTCGTTTTGCTCCCAAGTGAGCCCCTTTGCTCTCTGAATTCTTTGCCAAAGTGCAATCAACTCGATTTTTTTTTTATTTTTTTTTTTATTTTACTTGTTTGTTATTTTATTTTCAGTTCTCTCCGCGGCAGAGAGCTCTGCTCCCCAGCTCTGTGCCCACGTGCATCCCGTCTCGTGTCGAGGACAGGAGCTGGGCTTTTGCTCCCTGCCGGTGGCTTTCCCTGGCTCAGCCCTGCCGTGTCCTCGTGCCACCACCGCTGCCCCAGGCTTACAGGGGGTTTGCAGTGATTTTTTGCAGGGGTTTTGCGGTGATGTTGATATTTGTGATATTGCGAGTCGGTGCTGAGCGCTGTGGCGTGAGGCTCCCGTGGAGCGGAGGAGGATGAAAAGCAAAGTAGATGATGAGAAAGGCAAAGGGAGGCTGGGCCAGGAGAGGGGAAGGAGCTTTGCAGCAGCAGAGCTTGTCTGCCCCATGACTTACAGCCTTGTGCCTTGTCTGCAGGAGCACAGGATAACGGGTGCTGCTGCAGATGAGCACCACTGAGGCTCAGGAGTGGGTCTGGGCTGGTCCCTCTTGGGCAGGATGCTGGTGGGGAATCATAGAATGGTTAGAGATAGAAGGGACCTTAAAGATCATCCAGTTCCAACCCCCCTGCCATGGGCAGGGACACCTCCCACTAGAGCAGGTTGCTCCAAGCCCCATCCAGCCTGGCCTTGAGCCCCTCCAGGGATGGGGCCCCGCAACTTCCCTGGACAACCGGCTCCAGTGTCTCACCACCCTCACAGGAAAGAATTACTTTCTGGTGTCTAATCTAAATCTCCCCTCTTCCAGTTTAAAACCATTAGCCCTCATCCTGTTGACAGGAATGGGCAGGAGAGGGCACCCTGCCTGCTCTTCTTGCCATTTGGTGCAGGAGACGTCGTAGAAACTTAGTCTTTTTTCCCCCCTTTCCTGTCTCCCGCAGCAGGGCGGGCTGTGATTTCTGGGTGCTCGATGCTGGAGGGAACCTCAGGCAGGAGGTGAAGGGAGAGGAAAAACCCCGTTTTCGGGGTTTCCAGGGAGCTGCCAGCAGAGGTTCTTGCTCTTTTGGT